CTAAAAACATTCTCACGACCTCTAGTACATGTCGTGACTTAAACATAAGAACATATTATGGCTAAGGCTACAGTTATACACGTCATAATAATAATATTAAACATCCTGTCTGCTGACAGTCATCAACTCTTCTCTCTAGTTATCCTTGACCAGATGTACCCTGTAGAAACTCATAAGCATGACTAAGCATTTAACAGTCTAACTAGACATCCTATCTCCACTAAACATTTCTAATACATAAAGTATCTATCCAATATCTATCTGACTAAAAATACCTAACAACAGTAAGGTCTAGACCTTACTTTGTAAAGTGTCCTGAGATGACTTTTGTTGTGATTTGGTGCTATACAAATAAAATTTGATTTGATTTGATAGACACACAGCGGCAGAATCCACTGGGAATCCGCTGAATCCATGTTCTACAGGGCTATAATTAGGTTAGTTTTTGGAGAGGGGGTTAAACAAACAGGGGATGTGAGGTCATAAGCAGATGGAAGTGGGATATGCCTGCACTTGCTGAGTGGGCACAGCTCCACATGACAGGCGAGAGAGAGGCCCTTTGGGCGCTCAGCAGGGGAGAAAGCAAGGGGGGATGGGGGTGATGGTGGGGAGCCCGACTCAGATAGCCTCACTGCCTGAACATTCAAACTCAATCAATAACTACGCACAGCCCAGCCACACACCTTCCCCCAAACACCAGTCTGACTCCTAAATCATCAGCCTGAATGAAATTCCCAGTGAGAACTATAAGCAGTATTTCCCTGTAATGACACGGTCAAACTTTTGCATCACCTGTTAGGCAGAAACTTCAACAGTTTGGTGAAACAAAGTCAACTTGTTTTAATTATCAAAGGAGTTGTGCAAGTGGAATTTATCCAGGGATTATATCGTTTATATCGAGTTTGATAAATGATTTAAAATAATCTCTCTGTCCAGTCTATAGCAAACACCTCTGCAACAGAGGAGCAGGGAGAGAAAAGCTGCTTAATTACAAAAAAATGAGTTGGAGAGTGTGATTAGGTGACGGGTGGCCGTTGGCACGCTAGAGTGACTTAAGGCCCTGTCAGTGAATGCAGGGAGGTCTGGATAATCTTTCCCTCCACAAAGGTGTGTGGGGCTAATCCAGGCTGCTGTGCTGAGCTGTGGATCAAGTCCGACAGGGAGTGTGGGAAGGCCAGCAGGACGGCTATTGCTCCAACCCGCTTGGTGGTCAATGCTTACTTATCCCAAGGTACACTGCAACAGCAGGCCTGTGCACTCTTCAGCACACCTGTGCATTAGGCTGTCAGCTACAGTGAGCATGATGAGAAACCAGTTAGGTTTTACATGAGATGCAATTTCAGTGTTAGTTTGTTGAAAATTAAAAGCCGCCATATAGATTACAGCTGCTCGAGCCAACATTACAGTTTAATAGAAGCAGCTTGAAGGAAGACGAATCTCCACAGTACCAAGCCGCCTGAAAATGTCCCAGATGCACCTCAAAATTATATAAGACTGTTAAGAAAAAATATTTAGTTTGATTTAAAGGTGATTTATTTCATTATCCTGTATTCCAAAGTCACAAATGATATATATTTTTGCCACGCAAGGTAAATTTAGAAAACATTTCAGAAGATGCAGCATGTGTACAAGTTTAACAGAATTTTTATTAAAGAGTGTGTTTATACCACTTTTAAATGATCTGGCGCTCATCCCAATTGTTATTTTACTTAGTCTTATTTATCCTATTAAACTTATTTTAAAAGCAGAAATGATCTAAGTGTTGTGGTAAAATATGAAAACAAAGTGATAACAGTGCACTGATTTGTCTGTCTTCAAGTAAATACTGGAGAGAGAGAGATCCTCAAGGAAAGTTAAGTGTCACAGCTTGATAAAGCAAAAACCAACTTTTATTTTTTTTTTTTAAGAGAAAAGGAATTTTTCTACAAAATTCCAAAAATGTTCCCCAGAAATATCACATAAGATTAAACAGGCCTAGGGATTATGAACAAAATATATTCTTAACTCCAGCAAATCCAATTATAAACTTACTGTTTTTAAGGGTTTAAAAAGAATTGGAAAACCAAATTATCTTAGCCCCTGTTCAGGAAGAAAAATCTGTTTTACCAAAGAGATAATGTCACAAAATAAAAATATACCAGACTGTCATTCAGTGCGTTTTAAGCCCCTTTCGAGTCACATATATAATTTCTTGATGCTCCCTTGGGAGACAACCACTCCAGAGATTCTAAAATCATTCAAATGCGCATTTCCAAACCCCGTTTAAACACACAAACGACAGAGTCACAAATCATGTTTGTTTTCGTACAAATTTATTCAGCATTTAAGAATAGAGGATGGTCTTAAAATATGTAGAAACGTCAGTTTAAATAAACCTTTTCGTTCGGGATAATGGGAAAACATGACACTGCCAAAACCATCACAGAACAGAACATTTTACAAAAAAACGAATGTGAATATTTTCACGTGACAAAACATCAGGTTCGCAAGCTAAAAGGGAAAAGAACACTATAAATAAAACTTGTGTTTGCGACCCGCACAGTCTTAACATTTCATTTTAACCTATGGGTCCGGGGGAGGGGGAAGGGAAGACTACAAAATTTGGACACAGTGGAGACGACTGACATTCTACAAATCAAGTGTAAACATTTATGAGCCGACTTTCCATCCAGCTTTTCTGAAATACACCAGCCTCTTCATGAGACCGCATGCCTTTTCATAGAGTGAAAATATGGCATTATTTAAAATATAGAAGTCCAATTCTTCTACATAAGTTGATTGCTTTTACTTGTGATAAAAAGCCTCTTTGCAATGCAATTTACTCTGATGGGCTCAACGTTCAGTTTCGATCCACTTTAAATTCATTTAGAATGGACAACTCAAGATTCATTCATTTCTACCGCTTAGTCCCTGAACGGGGTCACGGGGGGGGGCTGGAGCCAATCCCAGCCGGCAATCGGGCGAAGGCGGGGTACACCCTGGACAGGTCGCCAATCCATCGCAGGGCTGACACATAACTCAAGATGTTGAGAAAATATTTTTGAGCCAAACAGTTAAACGTTGTTTCTTTAGCAACCAAAAAGTTCAAGTATCCGAAGTACTCTTTTAAAAAAAAGTTTTAAGTCTTTTCTTTGTGCTGCTCTCAGATGTGGGTGAGAGGTAGCGTGCCATTGACGCCAGTCCCTGCGGTCTGATAGTGCGGATGGACGCTGTGTAACCGGCTGCTCTGCAGGGAGGAATGCTCCGCGCTGTCGCCGCCGGGAGGCAGGTACATGCTTATCATATCCCTCAGGTCCCCCAAACACGCCCGCTGAGAGTGGGACGTGATGGCCGGCGGCGGCGAGCTTGGCTCGGTCTTGCAGACGGAAGCCATGGAGGTCAGTCCCATGGTGTTGGTGTTCTGCTGCGTGTACGCTGGAGACATGCTGTACGTGGAAGCTGCGTTCATGTAGGTCTGCGCCGAGGACATCATCGGGTACTGGAGCCCTGCCATCTCGTACCGGTGCATCTGCTGAATCTGAGGGCTGTTCATGCTGTGATGTTGCGGGTAGGCCAACTGATCCTGCATGAGGGAGTACGCACTGTTTGTCCAGCCATTCATGTGCGCGTAACCGTCCATCCGCTGCCCCACCGACACTGAGTTGTTGACGGCATTGGCTCCTGGCGCCAACAGTCCCCCGGGCAAAGAATACTTGTCTTTCTTGAGCAAGGTCTTGGTCTTCCTGCGAGGACGGTATTTATAATCCGGGTGCTCCTTCATGTGCATAGCGCGTAGACGCTTGGCCTCGTCGATGAATGGCCTCTTTTCAGCGTCAGTCAGAAGTTTCCAGTCAGCACCAAGCCGCTTGCTGATTTCAGAGTTGTGCATTTTTGGATTTTCTTGTGCCATCTTCCTCCGCTGTCCCCGGGACCAGACCATGAAGGCGTTCATGGGCCGCTTCACCCGCTCCTGGTCGCTGGCATTGTTGTTCTTTGAGCCCGGTGCCGAGCCTGAGTTCGGCTGCGGGAGCGGGGACTTGATCTCGGTTTCCATCATGTTATACATTCAGGCGGCTTTTAGTGTTCACTCACAGGCACATAAAAAAAGTTCACAAAACAGCGCCAAAAGTCAAAGAGGTAGAGGTACTGACCAGTCTCATAAGCAGATGGGGAAAAAAAAGTTCTGCCTAAACAGGCAAATGTGTCTGCAGGTGCTTCTGGTTTCGCTCTGCTCGAAGCTGCTCTGTCCCCCACGGCTCTGAAACTGAAGTCTGTAAACTTGTTCGCCAAGCTCATCTGTTAATAGGCCGGACCATGTGATGTGGATTGGCAGTATGACAATCAGGAGCAGGCAGCCAATCAGGGAGCAGCTCCTATATTCTACCGTGTGACCAACCGGAGCACACAGCGCTGTGTTTTGTTCAGAGGAGGAGGAGGGAGATGTAAAGTTTTAAAACAGCAGCCATAAGGCAAAATATTATTTACAGCCTTCACAGTCTGAGAAGGGAGATGAGTGGTTAATTGGAAAATGCCTCAACATTATTTTTGGAACAAATTAAACCCAAAATTAGGTCATTTTGTGAATGCCTATGTACATTTGAGACTCAAATATATAGGACTGGGAGTAAAACATGCAAAAGAATGTGTATAACCGTATAAGAGTACAGGCTGTATGTTGGCCATGCTAGTCTTAATGTCAGTAAATTAATTAGAGGGGCAGATTCCTGCAGGCCAAACCCAGCTAAAACCACTGGGCACATTTTACTCCAATCTTCCACCTTTCACTTTTTGCTAGAAGCTGGAATATTGGAATAAAATGTATCCTTGGCAGAGAAAAACGGTTTAATCTCTCTGTTCTTTCAAACATGTTTCATTGCTTTTCTTCTATTAGAACTTCACAACATATTTTGCCAGTATCTAAAAAAACAAACTAGTCAGCACATTGGTGTATATAACATTTTTTTTCCATGGGGTCCTTTGTGAACCACCTGCTCAGAAGTTGTTCTCGGGAGTTTTGTGGTCTCTTTTTACTGCTGTAGAGATCTACAGCATCCTTCACCGCTGGAGATGGGGTTGGTACAGGCCTAATTCATATTTTAAAATACATGTAAGCATTACATATAATATACACACAGAGAGAGAGGGAGAGAATGTTTTAATGAAACAGAATAAGACTTACACTAATATAAAACTGTGAGTCTCTTGTAAAGAAAATTAAATTAGTGGCACGGCCGTCTGCTTGTTTCTGCAGCGTTAACGTTCCCACAATGCAAAACCTTAATACATCAACGACCTCTTGTGGAGGGGACGGGCCATCTTTTCAGTCCCTGAGGAAAAGTTTGCTTTGACACTGGCAAAGAGCTGTCTCGCATGCGAGTGACTGCTAGAAACCCTAGCAGAGACCCTAGAAATCGTCTGCTGACTCGTTTTTCTGTCGGCGGTGTTAAAGGTTATTAAAATCATTGCAGTGGAGTGGCCTTCATTTGCATCCGTGTCCCCACAAACCAGCTGACAGCCGCTGTGCCGCTGAAACCAATCGCTCACACCTGCTAATGACAACGAGAGAATCGCTCATCGAAAACGACTATTAGCACCTTATTTAGATGGGCTCTGCTGGGATCGTTCTGGTATGTGCATTTTAGAGCGTTTCACCTCCCGGAGCGCTGAATGTGCACCTCCCTTATTTATAGATGCAGGGCGGTACTCCGACCTTGGGTTTTTTTTTCTCAATGTATCATTAATTACTGCTGCAGAGAGCAGAGATGAAAACGCAGAAACCAGTTTAGCTGAAGTCACTGATTCAAGATCAGCTAAGCTGTTTCGATGAAATTATCAACGAACCGCTAAGTCTGTCAATGACTGTTGCGCTTTTTTCCTCCAAAGAATGAATGAAAGCTTCCGTTTACAAAGTAGAACTAAACAATTTTTAAATAAAAGCATACTGCATTAAGGTTAGAAGATGTATTTAGGACCGTTAGAGATATTTATAACAGGCACACAAGAACAGAACGTGTCCATAATATTTATGACTTTTAAAATGAGACGACACAAATAAAATAAACAATGGTTTGTTATCTTAAAGGAGGGAGAGCCCGTGGCCCCTCAGCCACACAGTTGTAGTAAATCAGCTGAAAAGAGACATCACTTCATGAATTTAATTTTCACGTTCAATGGGGCGTTGCAAACACAGCAAGAGCAGTAAAACTAACGTCCAATTAGTCGCCGTCTAATTCTCAGGGACCAGTTATTTGTTTATCTGGGCAGATCTTCATACTGATCCGCTTGTAATCTTCTTATGGAAATGGACCGGTAGCAGAGAGAGAAGGGGGCAAAGGGAGGGGGTACCAGGAGTAACCCTGAGTTTGGTAATGAGGGCCTCTGTGCAGCTAATTTCCTAATTAAGGAACCGAGGACCACCAGCACAGTCTGCTCCGATTCAGACTCAGCCTAGAGGGGCTCTGGGCGCGGCTGCAGGAGCCCACTGTTGAGTGCTAGGAAATATGTGGATGTCCTGATGGGAGGCTATAACCTGCATGCAATCAGCTCCATACAGATCATGTAATGATCTTTATTTTAAAAAGTACGAATTGCGCATGTGCAGGTAACGTGAAAACAGATTTTCCTCCTGGTTTTCTGAGGAACGATTCACTGCATTTTAGTGCGTTTCCTTACAATAAAACAGTTTCGGATTATTAAAAGCCAACATTTTGTTTAAATTTAACATTTATGTTGATACAGCATTAAATCCAGTGGCGATGTTTGACGTAAGTCAGATAAAGACATTTGTTTGAAGAATTGGTCTGATTGTGGCCTTTGGGCTTAGAAAATAAAGCAAACAAATTTGCAAAGAGATTTAGGGGAATTAAAATCTATTCAGGTCTACTAACTAGAAACCGAAACACATGAATCCCATCTCCGAAAACAGTCATAACGTTACCATCGTGTGCTCGACTGTCAGTAAAGCAGACTAGTTGAATTTATGACGCTCAACTTTAATATTACACCACAGGACACAGGCGCTGCATGTCTGCCATTCAACTGCAAACGACTGCCTGATAATGCCTTGAGATTTATTGCCTTTGTAATGTTATAGCCTGCGTTTACCAGCTTTATGTTTATCTGCCAACATATGGAGAGAGATTTTTTTTTTTAATCGAAAGTCGCATCTCAAGACGCACAACATATTATTTTACGCGTCCACTTTAAACCCCACGACCTCAGAATCAATAACTTTTTTGTTTCAGCTCAGCGACTGCGGACATGGCCTTTCAGAAACAGTAATTAATAAAGAATGGGTTTTCAGTTACAGTCACAATGGAGACTGTCTCATTAAGATTTGCATGATTTTTTGGACCAGGAATGCAAATGACGATGCAATTTACGCACGGTCTGCTGTTTCTATTGTGTCGGCGTGAATGGTTGCGTCCTCCCAGATCAACACAGGTAAAATAATATTCACGGGTCATTTAAAGGAATAAAAGTGCTGCTATTATCACCTCTTTATTTCACAAAGCAGTGTTCCTGGTGGTAATTTGACTTATTTGGTCCATAAAAGTTGTCATCCATACAAAAATTATGAACCAAAAATAACTTTAAATGTTTAATGTCTGTGTATAATTTTAGAGTCATGGCTGAGGACACAATTTTACTCTGTTGGATCTTAGACGTAGTTATTTATTTATTGGGGAAAAAAATCCTTTAAACTGACAGGTTTTATGTCATCTGGTTGAGTCTCACGTTTTTGTGTGTGAAAATTACTGAAGTAAATTTTTTTTTAAAGTTTTCTTCTAAATGTATTTTTATTTGTGAATGCTGCTTTGGAAAATTCAGACATGAACATTATGAGCTGGTCCAGCAACAGGTATCATAAAACTTAATTTGGGGTAAAGCTGCTGCTTGGTAGATCTGGTTTTGAAGCTTCACCTTCATGAGTTTTGGTTTAGTTATCAACCTTATCACAGTTATAGACTCTTCTCATGAATAATAAAATGAGAATATTTCTGCACTCTGCTGTTCGATGGAGTAATGAAACTCTGAGCAGCAAACAGCAAATTAATAGAAATGGGAAATACCTGAAGAGTCTTTTAAAACATCCTACTAAGCTACTTTTTATTGTGTTGAAAGAATAAATGTTTCACAAAACACTGTGCAATTTTGATCCAAATAAAGGACGGCCAAATCTTGAAATTTATCATCAGATTTGTTGCGGATTATGTGTAAACTGGTGGTTTTAAGTATGTGTTCACTGCCTTTTGACAGAGAGAAGGGAGAAGACAGAGAATGAATAAAAAGCAGGGACTGCTCTTCAAAAGAAATGTGACTGTGCCATTACAGACCTGCTGTATATGGAACTTTAGTCATGGGGAAAGGATGAAGCCATAAACTCACCACAAGTCGGGATCGTCTCTTAATGTGGGCTCATCTGGGGCAGTGAAAGCATCTAATCATTAGGTGAAGGGACTGTCACTCGAACCTTCAAAAGAAGAAAGAAAAAACACAACACTCAGAGGACAGTTGCTTTTTTATTTTTCAGGAGAGCTCTAGTCTGTCAGGAGGACTCGGCACTAATGGAGAACATGGCATTCTTGCCTCCAGTGTCGCAGAGCGTCTTACTTATTGACCTCTGCTTGTAAAACAACAAGCAAAAAGCTGTTTTCCTCTCGCAGCTGAGTGTTCCAAACTTGAGCCTCTTTTTCTCCCCAGCAGGCCAAGCATGTCTTTCCTCATTATGCTCCTCTGTGAACCAGGCCAAGGCTGCTGACACAGACCCAGTGTAATCTCTTTGACCCGCCACTGTCATGAACAGACAAGGCGTGACCACCCAACGCTCTGCTCCATCTCACTTAGTCAAGGGAATAGTTTTTCACTTCATCGCCTCACCCTCGTCCCTCTTTGGATGGAGCTGCTTATCATTTAGGGATGCGCAATTCAAACACACTTGATCAAGTATGCTCAACGCGTAATGCAAAAATCACACACAGACGCACACATCTGGGGTTAATCATTGTTACAAGACCACTTAATATAATCACGTGCAGCAGTGTGCAGTTAAAAATTCATATACTCACTGACCCTTGGAGTTCCCATAATTGGCACAAGCACTTTTTGCTGTGGTTACTGACTAATGAAGCTAAAAGCAAATTAAATTATATCACAGCAGAGCATTTTTAAATGAATATACAGTGATTATTAGCTCCTTGAAGTCATTTCTTAGACAAAGACTCCTTACGTTTACTTAACAAATTAGGAGAAACATATTTGGTATATGATGCGTTAAATGAAAAATAAAATACTAAATTAGTGTAAATTATAAGCTCCTATCCACTGAGAGCTAATATCAATTCAGTTTAAATTAAGCGAAAATTTTCAATAAATATGGTTTTGCTTCTGAGCCACTGGGTGAGGCCAGATTAAGCGCAACGTGATCCCTTCTGTGTTTGCTCAGGAACAAAGTCTCCTGTCTAAACTTCCTCAGACAAAGCTGAGCTCACACTTGAACCTCTAATTTGCACAATCATCCTTTACCCTATAGAGACATCATATTACATCTCATTTGCCAGTTTCAGGAGCTGGCCACACAATAGTTTTCAGAGTATTAAGAGATGTACTCAAACCAAATGTTGTATATGTGCAGCAAAAAAAGAAATGCAGGATAAACTGGGCCTCGAGATGCTTTTTTGTTTTGCTTCGCTGTTAAAGTAATGATAGTCTGTCAGCAAACAGATGTGAATGGCATTATCAAGCACCTCTATACGATGATCGTTTTAAATACAGTTATTGCTCGACTGGCTAATTACAGTGCTCATTATTTCCCATGTATCTTTTGAATCATTGCCATGTTCAGTTTTTCCAAAAACAATGGGAACTTTCTCCGGTTTTTGTTTGGAAGAAAGTGCTGAATCGCCACTTCTGGCTTTGCACCATGCCCAAGCAAGCAGCCCTCTTTTGTTTTAGCTATAATTGAGATCCCACTAATCTTGCCTCTTTTTAAAAAAAAATGAAACAGCCCCTTTGTCAATCCTTCATTAGTTTAAGATAATATTGAGAGAATACACAATTAATTTGCAGTGTAACTTTAATTAATTAAATATGCCCAATTTTGTAATATGATTAATGCCACCAAGTTGTTATCTGTATTCTCCTCTAAAATGAATATGTAAAAGTGATACAGCCCTGAGCATTAATTGCAGAAATTGGGCCTTTTAAGGACTCAAAACTAGGTGAGGTAATTATAAGAGGTGATTTATTAAATCTTAAATAAAGAAACAAACAAGCATAAATTGATATATAAATCATGGGTGCCATTATGTGTAATCTAGCTGTGATTTGGGAGAAAATGAGATATCTCTATTGCGTGCCGAGCACATGATAAAGCAGATAGTGGTAATAAATTTAGCCCCGGGCAAGGTCTCATTAAAAGAGGCATAATTTAATTAAGAGTTAGCCATCGCCCTCTAAATATATTAATTACCTTGAGCATGATGAGATGAGTGTGGTGATTATTGCACATTACATTAGAGTCAGTCTTCTGGGAGAAGAGCAAACTAAGCTGGCTGTGTTGACAAGGTAATGGATGGGCTGGCCTGAGATGAATTTGGTCACCTTGCCTAGGCTTGAGCTCAGAGAGGTGAGACAGAGGACAGCACAGGTCCTCGAGAAGGGACAGTGTCTCAGCTCTGTTTTCTAGAATGGCTGGACCTTTCAGGAAAATATTTAAAAAATATATTTTTGCAAGGTTACACTTAAACCACTTTTAAAAACAGCACTAAGCAATTTTGGTTGTGACAAATAAATTTAATTTCTCTACCAAATATCATGAAACTACAAGCTATTACCTTATGGAAAGATAAGATAAAATGTGTTTTCAACTTAATTTGGCATCACCCAAACTGCACCCTTCAAGTTGTCCTGTGTAATATTAAATGTTAGTGTCTAACCAAAAGAAAGACAAAAATAAATAATGTTACAGCCTCCAGGTTCAGTCTACTGTGACACACAAAAATACCTTGTAATCCGCTTATATCGACTTTTGCTTTTAACCAACATAACAAATAAAGAACTACCTGGATGTGCCACCTATTTGTACACACACACACACACACACACACACACACCCGAGGTGTGCAGAGGCGACGGCTCATTGCCCCATAGACTGATATGTCAATGAAACGTACACGATGTTGCCACTGGATTGGAGCGATTTCCAGCTTCGTTCCTCTCCTGGCTGACAGCGGGACAAAGAGCCTAAGCTACTATTATCTGGAAGCAAGCTCTCATTCTTGCTCTTCACTTACACAGACATAAATGTACTGCTTGTGCAAACACACAGAGCTCAGCATAAAGTCACTGATGCATCAAGCCTTTAGGGTTTCAACATTGTTAAAGTGTCAAAATGGCTATAGAGTGCACTGTGCAAATAAAGAAATATAGACTGGGTAAAGTTCTGACTTTCTGAGTCTATGTCAGTATTTTTACAACAGGACAGCAAAACTGTGAGTTTTATAGTTTGTGTTCATACAACCAAACTTCTACTACACTGATCTCCCTTCATAGTTTTTAATTCTCCTGACACTTGGATCAACAGGTGATGTCTTTACAAATAAAATCATTTTGGCTGAATAAATAACACGCTCTAACCAATATGTGAACAGACTGTGTAAACACAACTCACAGAGCTCCAGCTTCCTGAATGCCCCCTCCCTCTTTACTACTAACCTCCTCCCACTCTGGTCAGAAAATTGAGGACACTCACCCAACTCTGACTCTGACTCCCAGTCTGCTGCTGCTGCTGCTTCTTCCTGATCCCTCCTGTTTAGACACACCTTCAACAGCTGGTTGTCAGCAGGCCCGGGAGCAGGACAGTGGACTGGAAGACAGCAGTGACACCCACAGCCCAGAGCCTCAGCCAGCACTCAAACCACGACAGCTCAGACGGGAGCACCACTACGGCAGCTCCCACTGCAGCACAGAAACCCAAAGAGCAGGAGAGCTGGGCACTGACTGGTGTGGTAGTGCACACTGCAGCTGAGCTCTCCCTGCTCTGGGACCCATCTCATTCAACCAAGATTGCTTCATACAAAAGTTGACAATGCACCAGTGAAAGCCATTGTTGATATTCAACATTTTTTAAATAGCTGAGCAGAATAGACAACATGGCAGCCTGCAAAACTTGGCAAGGGAAACTGACCTGGAGCTTCCCACTTGCTGGGTGAGAGGAGAGAGGGCTATTGTGTTAAAAAGAGGGAGTACTGGTGTGAAAGAGCTCAAAAAAACAAAGCATCTCCCATACCAGGAGAGCAGAGCACAATGGTTTCTGTGCAGCAGGAAGAGGGCAACAACCTCACACCAGCATATTAACAAGGAACAGCAGGAGAATAAAATCAGTGCAATCAGACCCATTTTTAAATCAGATATTCCGATTTCTGATGTTTGATCCGAACAAGGAAGCAACCCACAAAATAAACCTGAGCTCACATGTGGCAAACCCAACATCTAGGTATAATGGTAAAATATTATCAATCAAAATGTCAAAATCATAATTCAGTATCCGTGCACTGGCTTGGCTAGCGTCCGGAGGAATGTCTTCCGGCGAGCCATCTATTCCTCTAATGTTGCACAGATGAGGATCATACTGCCTGACGCCACTAATGGTGTTCTGTTTCTGTCATTGTCAAGCTGACAGGCTTGCAGATTGATATGGATATTTAAGAAGCCTTTAACCTTCCATATGTCAGAGCATCACAGCACCGCTTGTGGCTCCGAAGCTATCAAAACATCTAATGTATATGTGTGCGTGAGTGACTGTGTGCCTGGTAGCCCTTGGGCAGGTCCCAGTGTTATGTTTCATGCATCCTCATGTCTCAAGATGGGAGGGGCGGCTCAGGGCCTGAGTGATTAATGTGGGTTTTAAAAACCCTCAAATGAAACTGCTGCGATATCTGGGACCCTTCTCACCCAGCACAACATAAATCTATCCACTCACTACATCTCAGCACTGCCATCTCAACTTTAAAAGCCGCCTCATATTCCAAGGCTAAATATAAAAATCAACTTAACACTTATACAGGCGTTTAATTTTATTATTTCTACTTGCCTGCTGATTAATATACAATTGCAATAAACCTACTAAGATGGAAACTATTGCAACAAAGGCATCAAATGGTCATTTCATGATTCAAGAGTCCAAGGTGTTGTATTTTGCCTGGTCAGCAGCTAAAACATCCACTCACTTTCAGTTTATAATAAGCTTATAACTTCCCCTTGGAAATGTTTAAGACTTTTTATTAGATAAGATACTTAAATTATTTATTAAATTACAATTATTGATTAGTTAACTCTTTGGCTTTACTTATTGTTCCCACATACTCTGACACTGTATATGCAAAAGTAGTACCACCAACTGCAGAGGGGAACAGCACTTCTACTGTGTCACAAAGATGTCTAGAACTAAATCTCTGCCTGCTCACATCTCATCGTAGAAATCATTGAATTTTAAAGGGACCATCTGGTTTAAGGTTGGGGTGAGTCTCCAGGAAAATGTATGTAAGCCAGTGTAAAATCCCCATGAAGAATGATAACAGGCATGTGCCTGAGAAGAGAAAGAAAAGGTAGTGCACAGAGAAACAGGACCGGTCTGGCCCTCTGACACAGGCAGGCTTGGAGTTGGAGATGTATAATTATATTGATCAGGGAGAAATTACAGCTCGGAGAACGACGGCACTGCCCTGAGAGTCTAGGTGTGCCAGAGAGAGAGAGCGGCAAAGTGACGGGGGAGATAGAGGGAGAAGGAACCTGTGGCGTCTTTACTAGAAATCCACGTCAGCACCACCCATCACACACTATTAGCTGCCATCAAAGCTCTAATTTTACTCTAGCATTACACCCCGCTCCCCGTATCCCCCTCCCTCCCCCGCTGGTCTGGATGGTGCAGCCTGGTGGGAAAACGACATTCAATCCACTGTCCGCCCCATTCAGGCCAAATTGGCAAATGACAGCTCTCCGCCTCTCAGATTTCGGGAAGTGAAAGGTACCGCTGTTACCATCCGCATGAGCCTCCGATAGCTGTCAGTGGGGAAGGAGGAGGGATGAGTACAGGGGAAGAGTGAGGACGGGTGAAGCCAAGGAGCAGACAGAGGTGGGTTAACAGCCTCCCTTGTCCTCCTCGGTGGTGACGGCACTGGACAGAGAACACAGAGAAACGAGAGAAGAATGCCTACACAGCAGATCAAAGGAACTTCCCTGAGACCAATGGGAAAAGCTTACATCAACCCCCTAATCACCTACTTTACCACCCCAGGCTGAGGCGTGGGGCCAGATGAGAATGCAGCATTTGCCCTAATGGAGGTCAACAGCAGCGACAGGGCAGCACAGAGAGTTAAACTTCATAGAGATACGGATAGAGGCATGTTGACTTCACTGTGCCTTAAGACCAGCTTGTATAGCTCTCTTCACCAAAAAAAGAAAATTTCTGCTGAATAAAATCACAAACACAACAAGCTGTGACATCTTTGTCCTCATGAAATGCATATTAAAATAGAAGACATTTTGAAAAGAATATATGGAAGGTGTGCACAAAGGCAGCACTGTGCTCACACACATGCACAAACACCAAGGTCTTTCATCAGTGTTTTACCGTGACACACAGCAAAAAGACACAGAGCATATTGTGTTAGACACTAACTGGCCGGCTGACTGAATGGTACTCTTACTGCTAATTAAGTGCTAATGGCAGATCCCCCTGCAGAGAATACTAATTAATGCTTTATTCTTCTGCGGGCTGAGCGCGTACTCCACTGCGGCCTAATGAGGGGAGGCAGGTACGTCTTCTCCCAGGCTGGGTTAATAAGCACAACACAGTGGGGTCTCAGTGGAGAGGGCCATACCAGGGGGCTGCTTCCTGTTGCCTAATCTTACCAGACCCCCCTCAGAACACACACAATAGACCACAGAGGTAATGAAAGGATTTGTCCCATAAATTCAGAAAATAGGCCATCCTACATGTCTGCAAGGATACCACCTCAAACGTTTTGGTGTCTGTACTAATGTGCCATTTACACAGATGAAATTCTGGACTCCAATAAAAAAAAAAAGAGAGAACAAAAACAACATGCACACTAATAGAAATCTTTTGTCGTTGTTCAGGCAAAGATATTTGTTTTAGAGCTGGGAGGGAAGCGTACTGCACATTTCACAGTGACGCACATAACTTCACCATGTATATAGTATGTGCACTGAGCAATGCAAAAGTATGAAAGTACATGGAAAACTATTTTTTTGGGGGGGAACAGGATTCTTGACACATTTCCTGTATGGCTTCCTACAGAATTTCTAACTGCTGATGTCTCTTAGAAAACAACTTCTACTTTAGTTTCCAGCTCCCTGAGAATATGCACTGCTGAAAAATAAATAAATACATAACCTGTTTGGTTGCAGAGAGCTTGGGAATCAGATTCAAAGTGCTGAAGAATGAACGGGCGTGCACGTAGGCGAGCGCGTGCGTGAGCGTAAACATAGATTGAGGATGGCATTGGAATTACCTGAGTGAGATAATGGTAGTGCATTAGATTAACTTTCAGTTCTTAAATGCAACACATTTAAGCAATCTTGTCCCCCAAAAACATGTCAATGTCTGAAAGGCCTCCCTCTCGCTATCAGGAGCCTCTGTCCCCCACACTGATGCAGCTGGCAAGGCGCTACTGTCGACTGTCAAAACGCTGCGCCAGATCTAGTTATAAAATAATTGAATTTTCATATCAGAGGGGACCAGAGTCCCAGCAGACAATAGGACTGCTGAGTCCTCTCTGATATTGGCTCAGGCCCTTTGCCATGCGCATGAAATCACTATGTTAATGTTCCAGGGGTTTCTTTTTTTAAGGGCACTTGTGCTCTCGCAATGTACTACCGATGCGGTTTCAAAAAAATTGCAACTATTGATAAGTAGGCAGCCAGCAACCCCC